TTCCCCAGATGAACTAAATGTGTCCTTGTTAGCAAAAACAGTCTGCTTTTTCTCATTTTGGCCACTGATTACTGTGTAGTTGTCTTAGTCACTTGTCCTGTCCCTGAGACACAATACCTGACATCCACAATTTGAGGAAGAAGAGATTTATTTTGCCTCCGGTTTCAGTCCATAGTCAGCTGGCTCCAATCAGGATGGCATGGCATAGGGGCCGGCAAAGGAGAGCTGCGCGTGGCATGGCGGAGGGAAGCAGAGAGGGAAGGGAGGAGCTCGTGAGGCCACGCCCACAGTGACGTCACCGAACGGCGAGCCAGCCAGAAGCCCCATAATCCGACACCTTTCCAAAGCCCTGAGACTTTGGGGGGCCTTGTAGATGTAAACAGTTGTGTTGACTCAGTGTTATCGAACATCACTCAGCCAGCAGAGCCAGTGACCGAGCTTTTGGGTCTTACTGTAAATGTTTTTATAGTTTTAGAATTACCTTGGTCCCTTCTTTACTTGACACCACCTCCCTTGTGTATCAGGGACTGTGGTTTTCTCGCTGAGAGTTTTCAGTCTGGTTTATCAGCAGTGTACAAACTTTTAGGTGCGTGTGATAAGTTAGTTTTTTCAAGGACCTTCTTTGCTTTCACTGAGGTTTCAAAGGATAAGCGAAGTGCTCTTAGAGCACTGTTTTTTAAATTGCAAGTTTTATTCCATGAATGGCTCATGGAAACTAGTGGGTTATGACCAGTAGGGTTTTTTTTAAATACATAGTGAAGCCAGGCACGGTGGCACACACCTGTAATCCCAGCACTCAGAAGGCAGAGGCAAGAGGATCGCTGTGCGTTTGAGGACAGCTTGGGCTACATAGTTCAAGGCCAGCATGAACTACACAGTGAAGCTCCCAAAAAAGCAAAACAAAACACAGTGAATAGAATTGAACAAAGAAAATCAGTGCATGACATGTAGTAAGGGTGTTTTGGGTTTTATGTGAAGTTTTTATTTTATATAGATGTGTATGTGTGCCTATGTAAATAGTACCTATGCATATGGGTTGTGATGAAAATTTATTTCTTACAAGGAGTCGTCAGGCATTGAAAAAACACAGCTGTAGGTTGGCCCCTCTTTTCTCCCCCAATTTCCAGCTGTTGCTGCTCTTTTTTGTAGTGTGCTGATGTCCCATATGTCAAGTTTAGTAGAAATATGGCTAAAATGAAAGTAACTGAGGCTAGAAAGATTTTTCTTTTATTTTCAAAATATTTTCAGATTGTACTACCCAGGGGTGTTTACAAGGGAAGGCGAGACAGAAGATAGGTTCACGGGTGCAGCATGGTGGCTGCATTTGGGAGGAAAGCTGGCGGCGGGGGGGGGAGCCCTGAAGGTGGGGATTCCTAAGTCCGCTGAGGTCTCCCCACAAATCCCCAGTGCTGATGCCTAGCCCCTCCCTCGCGAGCCCACGAAATAGTCTGTGAGAATGGAGTTCTGGAAGAACTGTCTTGCGGAACAGACCGCATGGCCTTTGATTGCAGATTGTGATGCGGGGAGGGAGGGTTGCTAGATTGATTAATGCCCTCCAAGAAAGGCATCGGTTTTCACTGTCATTCCCATAGGAACTCTCAGGTATTCTGTGGTGGTTCACAGGGCGGGTGGTTTGGAGCACTAGAGATGCTGTACTTGAAATGGGGAGATGGAGATCAGTTTGGATTGGGAATGTTTGGTTTGTGATTTAATGGAAGACAGACCTGGTAACTGAACGTGCCTTTTATAGAAAGATGGAGCTTTTCCTTCCCCCTCCCCCTTCTCTTTCCCCTTCCCCTTCCAGTATTAGAGGCTGGTCCACAGGACAGTGGGATGGCACTGTGGTGATGGGCCAGGACATGCAGGGTGGCTACTTAATGGTAAATGTGGTTCGTATCTATTGTAGCTCATGATACCATACGAAACAAACCAACTTTAAATAGTGCACAGCTATTTGTTAGAACAGTGTTATTATTCCTAAATCCAGATGTCACCTGGTGTAAAAAGGAACCGTGTGGTCACCATCCTTGTGTTCCTGGGAAGGGTCAGTCTGGTGCTGCAGTTACCTGAGTGTAGAATGAGTAGCTGCCTAAAACTGGAGTGGAATTTAAGCCCTGCCCAGGCCTGGAATGTTTTTCTGTGTCTCAGAGGAAGGAGGATTGTGGCTGTGAATATTTGAATTATTCCACTGCTACACGTGGGATGTTTCAGTCTTTGGCTAATGCACATAGGACCTCTAAGGAAGAAACCTCTGAATAGGAAGGGCTGCTTCCAGTAGAGGACAAACCATCAGGAGGTCAGGGCCTGAGGGTACTCATCTGTCCGTGGAGTGGAGTGGAGAGCCTGGCCGGGGTCTTCTGGTGCTTACCTGTTTTGATTGACAGGGCTTGTCCCACTTGGCCCCTTCTGTAGTCCCTTGAGCCATGCAGGTGTATCAGTTACTGCTGCTGCGTAACAAGCCACTTCCAAAAATTAATGATGTAGAACAGCAGCCATGTATTTGACTCACAGTTCTCCAGGGTCACAGTTTAGGCTGAGTTCCGCTTTGTGTATCTTCTGCTGCTCTCACCTTGGGTCATGCTGGTGGCTTTAGACATCTGGTGGCCTCCTTGGGGCCGGATGGGTTAGTATGGCCTCACTGGTATGACTGATAGCTAGCAGTCCGTGGCTGTGCACCTGACTTCTCTGCAGGTTGGTGTGAGCTCATTCACGTTGTGGCTTCTGGCTGGGAGCAGCAGACCTGAATACATAGATGAGTTTGGGCCTCTGTAGGGTCTCTGTTGGTGATGTCCCTGTGGTCAGATCAAGTCCCACGGACAAGTCCAGATTCCAGAGGTGAAGAAGTACAGCCTGCCTCCCGATAGGAGTGATGCAGTCTTGTTTCAGGGGGCATGGGTGTGAGTACAGGAACAAGAGGAATTTTTATGGCCACTTTTTTTCAATTAGGCTACCATGGAGGGATAGTTTAAAGATGGCACAGAGGCTTAATAAAACCCTGGGCCCTGGACGTAGTGAATTTGGTGTTGTAGTTCAACACAAGGATAATTGTGTGAGAGGTGGTGGCTCGCACCTTCTTTCTTAGTGCTGCGGAATTGGTCATCACACTAACAAATGTTTATTGGCCATCAGCAGGCCAGGTCCTGTTCTGGGAGGTGGGGATGGCTCTGGGAGGAAAGAGAAAGGCACAAGGAACAAAAAGAAACTTGTGCCTTGTTCATGTGGCTTTTGATTTTGAATTTGAGGCAGCAAGTTTTGTTCTTTATGCAAGAATGCAGCAGAGGCAGATTTTTATCTAGAAGTTAGCCGCTGTGAAGTCTGGTTTTAAAAAACAACTTAGTAATTGGTTTCTCTGCAAACAGCAAATCCATATATTTTAATAAATGTCACATTTAAGAAGTTAACTAAAAAAGAATTAGAGTACAGGTTTGTTTGTTTTTTTTTAACTAAAGAAGGCTTTTCTTCTACTCAGTGGATATTGAAGTAATAGCCAGTGATTATATTTTCCTATCTGTTAATGTGATGGATCCGACACATCGTTGAGAAGCTCTCAGACATTTATCTGGGTCAGGCATCTCTGGTCTACCTGCCTGGATGCACTGGAGGGTGAGGACCGTTGGGAACATTCTTGAGAAAGTCAGATCTAAGTGGGATCGCTAGTAAAAGTTGGATTCATTCTTTGGTCAGGTGGGAGTGAGTCCTGACAGAATTTCAGAAGTAAGTGCGAAACAGTTTTTCAGCAGCCGTTTTGTGTTTTTTTGTGTGTTCTTAGAGGATGAAAGCGTATGAAAAATTAGCCTGTCGAGCATTTGATGTTTCCTTATTTTCTATTTTGTTTAATTTTCTTCTCCTTGAATCTCAGTGGTCACAGCCCTGGAAAAACTTGTTGCTGTAAAATGCTATCTTTTGTAGGCTGACTTTGGACAGGTAGGGAAGTGGGAATTGGACCCCTCCCTTCCTCATCCCTCACGTGTTTTGTTCTTTATGAACCTTTTCCTTTCAAAAGTGTTATCACACATATATGTTGTATGTTGGCATCTCATTTCTCCTTTCTATCTTTATGGTGTTGCAACAAAGGAAAAGTGGAGCTGCCAGGCTGAGCCACTTACGGTTCAGTGACTTTTCCTTGTGGCCCTGTGCTAGGAGCTGTGCAAAAGGAGCTAAAGCAATGCCACTTGCATTGCTAGGATTAGGGTTGGAACAGAAAGGAAGATAAAAGGGCTCCAGGGTTGCAGTGTGGGAGTGTTAGCTGGGGTCTGTTGTAATGCAGCCCCGATCCCTCAAGGTACATTTACATTTTACTTTAAATTTAAAATTGACTTGAGTGTAATCTCCGCCAGAAAGTACCCTTAAATTCTCATACCACAGCACATTAGATGCAATATGAGGTTGTGTGGAGCCCCCAGGGATACCTGTGGCTGTCCCACTGCATCGAGTGTGGTCTGAGCCGCCGTGGAGACCCCAAGCTGTCGCTGGGCAGTGTTGTGGCCCTGAGGGTTAGGTCTGGGTGAGGGGTGGGCAAAAGAGAAGGAAGCCTAAGCTGTAACAGAGAGCAGGGTCTTGCTTACAGTCGCCAGTAGCTGCTGACGAAATTTTTGGCAAGTATGACAGGGCTTCAGAGAGCTCTTATCTAAAGCCCTAAATGAATCTGGAGGTTTCTTGTGAAAGGTATTTTCAGCGTGTAAACCTGCTTTCCATTTGTGGGCAGAGGGAGCAGACGTGACTGACCACCTGTCTGCAGAGACACAGAATTCCTGGGAAGTGTGACATCCACGGTGAAGCAGGGAGCTAGTGCTGGTTTTAAGAGATTAAAGCCCCACGAGGACACTAAACTTTTCCCACTGTGTTGTTATAGCTACATTTTATTCTTTCTTTTACAGACGTACATTGGAAGTGTGGTCATATCCGTTAACCCCTACCGGTCTCTACCAATTTATTCTCCAGAGAAAGTGGAAGATTACAGGAATAGAAATTTTTATGAACTGAGTCCTCACATGTAAGTACGGTATGAAAGCCCTAAGTTTCTCTCCTGTTCCAGAGATGTGTAGTTGACAGATGTGTGCAGCTACCTCCTTTGAGTCTAGGAAAATAGTTGTCTCTTTTTTCAGCAGTTAAAGTAATGTAGATGTTAATAGTTATGTTTTACCCTATTTTCTTTAAAGGGAGAATACTTCTGTATGTAAAATACTTTGTTAGAAAAAAAAAAATCCTGTGTCAGTAGCAGCTGCTGCTAATTAGTTTTGTGAATAAAACCAGAATGTGCATTGTTTATTATTATTAAAAGGCCACGCAGCATTTTCACAGTCTTTTGGGGCCAAGAAAGATTCCAAGTGTTGGGTTATATGATGGTGTTTAAGAACCCAAAATAGTATGCTTGGATTTCTAGTCTTCGAGGACGTTGTTCCCCAGGTAAGTACAACAGGCCACTGAATTATCTTCCCTGAAGTTAGTCACCCGTTTGCTGGTTTTCAAGAAGGTCCTTTGTTAGAGTGAATGGTCCCTTCCCAAAGCCTGTGTGATTCCTTCGTCTGCTATGCTGACTTGCGTGATTCTGTCAGTTTACACCACAGGAATTTTGTTTCTGCGCTGAAAGACAGAAAGATAACCTGGGGGAGGTTTTCTTAGGTTTGGTGGGTCAGTGGCAGAATTGGATTTCTAGGTCCCTAGAACTGCAGATTTGCCAAATAAAAATGGAAAAACCCCCCAAATTGAGGAGAGTCTTCATACATTATCATAGACAACGCTGTAAACTTTATTTCTCAAGTTAGGCTGTGTTTACTGCTGCACAAGAAGAATCTGTTCACTGTTGACATTCTCCTGACGCTGTTGACAGAGAAGGAGAGAGAAAGATGCAGGGTTGGGCCAAGCTGTGTAATGAGAGCCTCAGGCTCCCCCCTTGTTCCTAGGCGGAAACATTTCCTGCCTCCTCTTTTGTGAGCATTTGAGTGTTTTTCCAGGATCTGAGTGCTTCATACTGTCAGTTCTTCAAGCGACCCAAGGTGACTTGCAGCGGGGCCCGGGCAGGCACAGCCTGGGTTTTTAAAATTTCATTTTATTTTATTTTCTGGTACCGGGGATCGAACTGGTGTCCTTGCTCTTGCACAGCAGGTGGCGAAACCACTGAGCTAAATCCCCGGCCTGTTTTTTTTTTTTAATGTTATAAATTGTGGATGCAGATTTAAAATAATTTGGGAAGTGCGGCCAAACAATAGGCTGGGACTCTGTGTGAGAGTGTTTTGTGGAAAGTCACATGCTCTGCGCGGCTGTGCTGTTTATCATCACCGCCATCCTTGCTGCGTGTTCGCCATAGTGTTTTCCTCCTGCACTGGGAAGAGGCGAGACGTTGCGAACACCTTACATTGTCATGAAATGTATCTAAATGTGTGTACTCTTACATGTTGGCGGGTCAGAAGTCATGGGTCAGTAGGATATTAGGCGTGGTTTTAAACAGTGTAAGCCGCCAACTTGTGCTTAAGATGTTTTCAGTCTTTTTAGTGAAAGTGATAGTTTTCATGAAGGGGTGATTTTGGCCATGGAGAAATGTGACAGTGTCTGGAGACAGTTTCAGTTGTCCCAGCTGGGGCCAGGAGGGCGCTGCTGGTGCGTGGAGTTCAGCGATGCTGTTGTCCTACAGCGCACACGGCAGCCCCCGGTGATGCAGAGTTGTGTGGTCACAGCGTCATTAGGGCCAAGGTTGAGAAACGCGGAGGAGAAAGAGCCTCCAGGAAGTCTTACCTATTGTAGCAGAAGGAATTTTTCTCTGATTAAAGATTGGCTGTATTACTTTGGATAAAAAAAAGACTTCAGGATTAAGGAATACATATATACAACTGCCGTGAAATCTAGTTTCTCCTGGTAATGTAGCACATGGCAATATTTGGGGGTTGGTTTTCTTCTAGAAGTAGATTTTGCAAGTCATCGAATTATTTTGTTCCTTAAGAAAAAGAAAATTTGAAATTGGTTTTATAAAATTATCCTTTTTGCCGGGTGTGGTGGAACATGTTTGTAATCCCAGCACTCGGGAGGCTGAGTCAGGAGGATTGTGGTGAGCTCAAGGCCAGCCTGAACTACATAGGGAGACCTTGTCTTAAATAAACCAAAACAATAAATAAATAAATAACATTGTTCCTGTTGTTCAGCCCTTGCACTGAAATATTTTATGTGATGCCCAAGTATTTACTTTAAATTGAGGCCTTAAGCCATGCTTTTCAGAGTAGAGTGCGTGGCTAACTGCATCCAGGAAACTCTGGTCCCTCAGCCTCTCTCTTTAATTCTTCACAAGTTTTCCAGGTGATTGTTGATGTACATTCAAGTTTGAGAACACATTGTCTGAGATGTATGTTTCAGATGTTTTCCTTTCTTTCTTCACTACGTACTGTAAATCATAATCTTTGATAATAAATACTAATGCTCGCTGGTGTTTATTGAGTATTTACCATGTGCAGGCATGGGCCCCAAATACAAGTGTAACAGCTCATTTCATTCACAGAGTGAATCTGTGAGTTAGATGCTATTACAAAAGTGGAAGTTATTAAAGAAAGATCAAATAATTTGTCCGGAGTCACATAGCTCATGGGAGTTGAACCTGGTATGAATCAGTTGTTCCTCTCACCTGGAAATGGGTTCTCCCCTTTTTAGGGTGGCAGGGCCTTGTGCTGTATGTGTCCACTCAGCTACCCTTGGGTTACCTGTGCTCTTGTACCCCATGGCCTCCAAGAGAACTGTGCTCGGGCCTCAGTTTACCTCTAGAGTCTCTCCCACTAGTCAGACTTCTATTTTGCTACTTAATCTCCACCTTGAAGATGTTTAGTTATCTGATTGATGGCTCTTCTAGAACATAGATGTTCATGCACCAGAATATCTGTTTTTATCCCTGCCCTGGCAGAGTCCTGCAGGAGGCTGCATGGCACTGCTGTCCCATGGACCCACTCGCCCCCAAAGGGAATAGTCACCAGCAGCAGCAAAGTGAAGGAAATTCCCAGTGTGCCAGGAATAAGCAAAATTTTTCCCAGGTCCACAGAACACTGCGTGGGTGCAGGAGGATGTTTCCCTAGTGCCTGTGAACTTGCCACCCCGTTTCACAGCCTCCCCTTCCCCATCAGCTGCACTTTCTGAGCCTCCTCTCTGGGTGCTTTTCCCTCCCTCTGCCCCAGAGTTCTTCCTTCCAACCCAGATGCAATTCGACGTCCTCCCCGCCGCGCCCAGACCTGTAGCTCTTGTCCCAGCTACAATGCAGCTCTTGCTGAGGATTACCTGAGTGACTTCAGCCTCATCTGTCAGCAGCATTTTCTCACCAAGCTCAGCAGCATTGGAATAAGGGGAGAGTCCTTTGAGGTGCATTGAGCAGGACTTGGGTTCCAGGGCTCCCTCTCCCATTTACAGGCTCTGTCATCTGAGCAAACTGAAGAAGCTTCCACTCGGAGGAATGAAGCAATTTGTTCTCTGCAATGGGAAGATGATTACAACGCATAGGATTGTTGTGAGGGATAACTGTCTGGTTGATATGCAATAATATAATTCGCTGGCATCTGTAAAGTGATGATGACAGTAACTGTTATGACAAGAGGTGTGGGACACATGTCTAGCATCCTACATGCTCTTTCTCACCCCTTTCTCCTCTGTGGTGGGGCATTCTCCACTTCCTTTAATGTACCTTTCTGCACTGTTCTTTTTTTTTTGGTACTGCGGATCGAACTCGGGTCCTTGGGCTTGCAAAGCAGGCGGCAGAACCACTGAGCTAAATCCCCAGCCCTGCACTGTTCTTTGTGAATGTCCATCTTTGACGGTATCTTGAAACAGGATCTGTACTAGATTGGTTCCCCACTGAAGGCCAGCCTGGCATTCCCAGGATTTTTGTGATATAATGGATTAAGATGACCTTGCACTTTTTCTCTTTTTTTTGGTACCAGGGATCGAACTCAGGAGGCAGGCACTGGAACCACTGAGCTAAATCCAGGGCCCTGACTTTGCACTTTTGATTCACTTTCCCTGTAACCATGTTGAGAATTTGGTTTCAGTTTGAATAGAATACTGTTTGAGGAGTTTAGACAATATGCTTGAAAACTTTGCCAATGAACTTATCTACATTTTATTTGGAATCTAACTGGAGCTGTTCTCTATTTTTCTGCAAAAACACCCAGATTATTTCCATATAAACAAAAAGAAAAGAAGTGTTAGACAGTGTCCCAAATTTATCTTTGAATTTTAGCCAATTTAAAAGTTATATTCTATGCAAGTGCCTGACTTTCAGATATAGTAATCGGAAATATACATGAATAAAATAAAAATAGGGTGGTTACTTTCCTGAGTTGCTTCCAACAGCAATTGTCAGTTGTCCCTCACAGGACTCAGCAGGACCCCCTTCTCCAGCTCCCGTCCTTGTCTGGACTCCTTTGTAGAGCTGCGCCTTTGAGCCTGGTGGCACTGGGTGGGATCCCCTAGAAAATGTGCCTCTATCAGGTGGCAAAGTCTACACTTTTTCTGATTGTGTAAGGAATGTGTTTCCATTGTGATTTTAAAAAGAATTCTTTGAAAATAAGAATTTAAAAAAATTGTATCCCAGGGAGAACCTGGCATATTTCACACAGATCACCTGTATCTTGATTCATTGAGAACTGCCTCAAAGTGACGAAGACAGGAAAGAGCAGAGGAGGGCTGAGAGGGGGGAAGCGGTTGCAGTGTTCAGTTTCCTTCTGTTCAGTTGGAACGGCCCTGGGACAGCGCCCCTTGGACATGTCGTTCCCGGGCCCCTGGCCTTTGTTGGGTGGTCGCCTTTGACTCTGCAGCAGTTGACACAGCTATTCCTCAGCCATCAGATCTCCTTATTCTCCTTCCCAGCAGCCTTCATGCGATGCCCAGTACTATTTGCCTGAACCCCAAGCTCCTTGGCCTACTGTTCGGTGCTGTCTGCTTTTAGGTCTCCTTTCCAGCCCCAAATTCGCTGCTCCTTCATGGAACCAACTCCCAAGCTCAGCCATTCTTGCCTTCTCCTTCCAGCAGCTCCTACCCTGAGCCCTGTGTCCACTGGTACAATCTGCTTGTCTTCTGGTCTTGAGCAGGTCCAGGAGACCTGTCCTGCCTCGCAGTTATTGGAACTACTCTTGCGCTCTAACACGTACCCTCCTTCCATGCTTAATTGCATTTCAGTGTCTCAAGGAGGGGAAGCTTTTACACTATAGGAAATCGCCCATCTTGGTGCCTCTCAGTGCATTGCTTTTAAGAGCTCAATAACTATGAAACAAAAGAGATTTTAGGTCGCTTTTCATTATATTTTGTTTGTATTATATCTGACAGTTCAGTGAAACCAAACAGTTCTTGGTGGGCTACTGAAGCATTTATCCTAAGTTCCATGCAGTGTAATGAGGATTTTATTCTGCTTTAGTAAAAGACCTCATATATTATTTTTGTGGTTCTCTTCAACCCTAAGTATTTATTCAGTTTGTTTGTTCATGCTATCTAAGCACCTGCTGGAGGGAACTTGCCACTAGAGGAAGAATGTATTGTGGCATCTGCCACTAGCCCTTCCTGCAGCCATAGCTCAGGAGGATGACCTTAAATTGCACCATCGTATGTCCTTAAATTTGGCTATAATGTGGTCCCGTTATGTTAGTTTACAGGTGTTACTTAAAGCAAGCAAGCAGTCTTTCCATTTTTTGTAAATGGAAAACTTCATAAAATTTTGAAAATTTAGGAAAATGACTTAAGGCTTTAGAAAATTTCTGGTTAGTTTCACTTAACACGAAAGTAATTAGCAGGAGAACTTTTGATGATGTGAATGTCCGTTGTCCAGACTTGAGCCTTCTGCCTCTGGAACCTTTGACCCCCAGCTTTGTGGCAGTCTGATTTTGTAGGACCATATGCTCTTGCCCGGTGTGTGCTTTGCCAGAGCGCTTGTGTGTTCTTGAGTCCTGGTTAGTCCTGCTGTTATTTTACTACATTCAAGGTGAACCAGATAAATGTTATAAAGAACATTTCTGATCATATCTCACAATGTCCAAGTGGTTGAGTTTACAGAGTTTGAGTTAAGGGTTCAGGGTGAAAAGCCTACACACTGTCCCTTTTACAGAGCCAGTACTTTATGGCATAATTGAAATGCTGTTAATAAGATTGTGTTTGTGTTAAGAGCTCTTGTAACAAGATTGCAAATTCTCGCAGAAGTTTCTTGTACAGTTGAATGTGAAAGGGCTTTCTCACAGGTTGTGTGTGTGTGTTCTGATAGTGCTATGGCTGTTTATTAAGTTCCTTTTATTTTACTTTTGAAAAAGTTTAATTGATCTAGTGCCTCCCCAAACACCACATGCAGAACAGGGCTTCATGCTTTTCCATCTAGCTTGCTTTTTACTTACCGCTTCAGAGAAGTTATTCATTTACTGAGCAAATATTTATTGAGAGCTTACCATGTGCTCTCGGTAGTGAACAAAATAAGTCTCCATTAGGGAAATAATACTTCATCTTAAGTAGTCAGAAACTGAGATTGTTCATACCATCTGTTAGGAGGAAAAAAAAAAGAAGAGAAGAGCAGAGGGAGGGAGGTTTTTTCTGAAAGAAAAAATGATTTCCAGTGGTTTTCTTACAAGATAGCTCTGGAGCCGTGTTCTCGAGCGCAGTGGGTGCGGGTGGAGACCTGTGAGGCTGTGCCTGAGTCTCACCCTCAGGAGCGACTTGTGCAGGGAGGAATCTGAGCGCCCGCTCGCGCCCTGCGTTAGACATCTTGGATTAGCATCTCCTGTGTAATGGTGCCATCTTGCACATACCTAGAATTGCCCCTTTCTACGTATGCATGACTGCCCCCAGTCAAAATGAGCAGAAGGCAAGCAGCATGTTGGCTTCAGTCTTTGGGGATGTCTGTTTGCTTCTGGACTACCACGGATTAGCAGGCTTTTTGTGTGGAGACAGTTTTGTTTCCGAGAGCAGTGCCCACGTCTCCGGGGCATGGCTCAGTGAGAGGTGGATTTCAGTGTCTCCTCAAGGGGCAAGGTGCTGAGCTGTGGGCTGTGCTGGGAGAAGAATGTTGTTGGGTGAAAGTCAACTACTAGCTTGAAAACTCCCTGCTGCCAGGTCCATGGTGGGAAAAATCCCTGCTACGTGCTCAGCTTCTGAGTGCTCCATGAATTGACCTACTGCCTTTTTACTGTCACACTTGTATTCCCAGTACTGCTTTATCAGGGTGACTTTCAAGGCAATTTTTTTTTTTTAGAATATATTCTCTTGGCAGAAAGAGATCACAACTGATTTCTCTTTCACATCATGTTGCTCCTTAAAGGAGAAAAGTTGGTGTGCTTCCAGCCTAATATTTCCGTCAGGAACATTTTTTAGTTGTAAACTGCTTCCAGTATGTCTAGGAAGTCTTCAAAATTCTATTTTCTAGATTCCCCAGTTAGTGGTTTTATCCTTTCTTTCTTTGTGTTTTTTTGGTACCTGGGATCGAACTTGGGACCTTGCACTTGCAAAGCAGGCGGTGGAACTGGTTATATCCTTTCTCACCAAATGTATGTCTCAGACTTGAAAGAATTTATCTTGAAAAGGCTTTTGTAAAGCCAAGCACATGTTCTGTCAGTATAGGATAGAATCTCCAAGGGAAAAGTCTGGATATGAGTAAAATAGGCCATTTCCTGTCAGAGTGCCACTGGTCTTTGACAGGCCTGAGAAATCTGGAAGATCATTTCATCAGAGGGGCGCACGGGGCCCAGGCAGTGAGGAGGGTTAGCCTAGTGTATGGTCCAGGTGAGAACTGCAATTGGGGTGTACTTGGGGGGTGGGAGGGGTGCTGTTGTGGAAGTACGTGTGAGCTACTGGGACTCGGGTGGTGAGACAGGGTTGTAGGGTGGCCTAGGGAGCCATTGGAGTTTGTCAGCACAGGGCTGGCAACGCCTCGTCCTGACCCACTGTGGGAAACCAGCAAAGCCAGGTGTAAGGAGACAGCCCAGCAGAGCAGGCAGGGGTCTCACAGAGGAGATGGGGAACCAAGGACGGGGGCAGAAACAGATGAAAAGGGGACCAGTAGGCCCCGAGTTTGTGCCCAGGTCAGGGGCCTGTTGCCGCCCCCATGGTCCAGGAAGTGTCCCCTGCTCCAGCCTGTCTCAGGGATCCAGAATTCCCAAGTGGAAGTAACTGTTCCTTCCTTTGCCAAACCCTATTAAGTGTCCACAGTGTGTGTAAGGTGCCAAGGGTGTGCGGATGAACTCGTCCTGTGGATGCACAGCCTCGAGTGGAAAATGACCAATAAACAAGTAACCCCAGAAGGCCAGGGTGCTGAGGACAGTGGGGCGCTTCCTCAGGTCCCCTGCACTCAGTGTCCCTAGGTGGGCAGGAAGTGGGGTCCCCTGTGGAGAAGGCAGGTTGAGGGACCTGGTGGGCTTTTGCCACAGTCTAGACTAGAAGGGACCAGGACAGAATGCTCTTGTGGGGACAGGGACATTGAGAGGGAAGAGCAAGGGGAGGAGGAGGATCAGAGGCCAGCATAGCTCTGGGCTAGGGTGCAGAATCGGGCTCAGGACACCAAGCTGCCCCTGAAGAACTGGAGTTGCCTGGGGAGGCAGCAGCAGGCACAGAACAGCCAGCCCAGGGGCTCCTCTGGCGTGGATTGGATGTGGAGTGGGGCCCCTCCCTGGCCCCTGCGGCCCTTGTTCCCAGTGTGGGGCGGGGTGGAGTGTCTGCCCCGAGGAGACTGGTGTCTGTGGGTGACAGCCCGTCCCCCTGTGCCGGCTGTTTACCTGTGTGTGCTCCAGTGCGTTTCTGAGAGCTTCCGGTAAGATCGAGTCCCCTCCCGCGCACGAGTTCCCACGCAGGTGTAGCTGCTTTGTCTTTAGGGACGTTACTGGCTCGGGATCAGCCGTCGCTGACTGTTCACTGAGCAGCTCTGGGTTGCTTTGATCTGAACTTCCTCTTAGGCGCTTGTGGTTTGGGAAGCAAACAGACCCACTTTGAATGCTACTTCCTGTGTTCTTCTGCATTGAGAGTTGTTCATTGAATGCAGCCATTTTTAGCAACATACAGATTCTGTAGCCTTCTTTTCCCAGTCTTAAACCTAATCACTTAAGTCTCAGCATTGAGACGTTCACACCTGTCATCCAGCACCTGGAATTCCCTTCTCTCCTGTGATGTAGTCCGTGTCACTAACCACAGGTGTGCGTTTTCTGGGATCATTTCTGACGCCAAGCATGTGGTCTTTCCCAGCACCCGCTGTTCTCCAGCGCTAGCTGGGTCACTGTCCTGACACGAAGCACGCAGGTGAACACAGGTGTTGCAGGTCAGAGGCTCCAGCCCATTGCAGGCACCAGCCACAAGCGCGTCGCCTGTCTGCTCATGTGTCTGTCCAGGCGACCACAATCTCGGGTCCCTGTGGCCCCCTCCTTACCTTTTTGAGAACTCACGAGTGAACCACTCAGAACTAGACAATGTTTCTCGGCCCTTAGTGGGTGCTGTGAAGGATGAGGTCAGGAGCAGTCCCATAGGAGAGCCATGGGGCCCAGGGTGGGGCCGGGCGCAGGGTATCCTGGCTCCCTGGACCTGGGCCTCCCCACACGTCCCTGTCCATCTGCCTGGGGCCCCGTGTGCCCTGCTCGGCTTCCCCTCGAGTGTTTATAACCCAGTCTCCAGCCCCTCTGCCCCTTTGGAAGTGGGGAGGTGGCAGCACGTTCTGCACACTAACCACAGGCTCGGGCTTTGCGGTGCGCACCCCACTCCTCACTAACATAACCTCAGGTATGGGCCAGAGAGGGCTTTGATGAATAAGAAAGACGTTCCTCTCAGGAAATTCTGCAGCCTTTAAGAGCCCCGTGCTGGGAACTAGAGACAAGGACAGTGCCTGGGCAGACCTCGCTCCTAGACAGCCTAGAAAGCTGTCCTGAGATCCGGGCAGGTTGACTTCCTGCCGCCCAGGAAATGTTGGTCTGTCTGTGTGACATCCTGGAAACTGGAATCGGGCCTCCTTTCCGCAGAAGAGTCTGAGGGGAGTGGACAGTTGGGTAAACGCTTGCGTGTGGGAGGCGCTGAGCTGTCTGCTCCCATCTCAGGCTCCTCCTCGGGTATCCATCCCGCCCGCCCCTCGGCCCTCCAGGGTATCCTTCTGTACGTCTGTCCCCGCCAGGTCACTAGCCTTTTCTCCTGCCTCTCCTGCGCCCACCAGCACAGGGTTGCAGTATTTCTCGTGATTCCTGTCTCCTAGCTACCGCTCCGCCGCCTCCCTTTGTTACAAATCTCTGGGGAAGGTGGATCCACTTACCATCCCTGATTGTCTCCTTTCCTTTGTTTTTTGTTTTTATTTTTGGTACCGGATCGAACTCGGGTCCTTGCGCTTGCAAGGCGGGGGCCGGCACCTCTGAGCTACATCCCCGGCCTTGTCTCCTTTCCTTTAGTGGACTCTCTTACAAGTTTTCTTCCCCAGCTGCACTAAAGCAGTTCTTTCCAGGGCCATCCGTGTTCCCAAATGCAGGGGTGGTTCTGGGTCCTGCGCTTTCTTTCCTCATCAGTAACACCCGACAGAGGGATCTGGCTTCTCGAGGCCCTTCTGAGCTCAGCTGCCTGGCTTCCGCCCCTGCTCCATGCACCTCTTGGTCTCCACCTGAGTCGGTGCCTCTGAGGGTTTGGCTCGGAGACTTCCTCCTCCACAGGCCCCGCTTCCCAGAACCGGGTGGGCTTTGAGTTCCCTCTGTGTGCTGGAGATGCCTTGTGGGTGTCCCTCACCAGCCGGACCCCGGCCCAGCTGTAGGCCCTCCAGCTGCCCACCACCTCCAGCTTCTCCTGGGCGTCTGAGCGGCACTGCTTCCCTCTGCGTGGCCCACTGCTCCATTTCCTGGCCCTGGCTGGTGGCAGCACCGCCCGTTGCTTGTTCACCTGCAAACCTTTGCTTTCCTTTCTTCTTCCCCACCTGTCCGTCATCGGGACACCTCAGCCCTGCCTGTACCTGCAATCCACTTTGACTTCCGTGTGCTCTGTCAGGCCACTGTCCACTTTGCGGAGATCGGGGGTGGCCTCCTGGCTGCCCTCCTTCAGCTGTCCCCCTCATCTCTCCTCCGTCCTCGCCCCTGCAGCCGTCTGTCTTTCCTCTGCAGCTGTCAGGGCCACTGCCTAGAGTGGGCTTTCAAGGGGGTCCGCAGGCTTGTCGGTCTGCTGCTCAGAGTGGTTCCTGCGGGGCCTGCCTTGAGTTGGCTCCTCTCCCCGCACGTTTGCTTCTCATCGGCCCCTTCCTATAGCCACACCGGAGCTCCCAGGACATGCATTCACTCCCGGCATCCCTCTTCCTCCTTACAGAGCTTGACTTGCTGTCTTCCCTCAGGAAGAGGCCAGTTTTCGGAGACAGCTCGGAGTGCACCAGCTAAAGCAGCAGCCGCCCCCCTCCCAGTCTCGCATTACCCCGTAGATCACTTTCCGTCCCAGCATTTGCCTTGCGTGGGTTACACTGCCTGTCGTGTCCCTGTGTCCCAGAGTAGAATCATCTCCGTGAGAGCAGCGCCCTGTGACTTCACCTCCCTGAAACCAGAGCAGTGCCCAGCACAGTGGACCCACACCGTGAACACAGAGGACAGGACGAGTGGATGTGGGGCCGTTGTTGGTTAGATCTGTGTGCAGAAGGCGGCGCTTGGTCCTCGTGGATCTTCTGTTCATTGTGGGGCCAGGCTGTGGCTCTGTGGGCGTGTCACAGTAAGGTTACATCATGCAGTTGGCCCTTGGAGTGTCCTGGGCTGTCGGTTCCGAATCTTCCAAGGACGCCAACATCTACTGATGTTCCACTCCCTTCTATAAAGCGGTGTAGATTTTGCATGTTACTGGCGCACATTCTCTCATTTATTTTAAATTCTCTCCATACTTTATAGTGCCTAATACAGTATAATACTGTGTAAGTCACTGTTGTATTGGTTAGGGAAGGATGGCACGGGAAAGCCTGCATGTTCAGTACAACTTTTTGGAGGGTATTTTTAATCTGCTGTTTGTGGAATCCACAGATGGGACCCACACCCAGGGGCTCAGCTGTGCTTACAACGACAGGAAATAAGTTGGAAGTGCAGAAAATCACTTCAGAGATTCTGGAGGTGCCACCTGCACAGCGTCTTGAAGGAATTCTCAAAATAGGAGGTCGCTGGATGTAGTAGTTTGCTCTATGGAATATAAAGGAGCAGACTGGGTTTGGCTGTGGCATAATAAACCAGGGTGTTAGGAAAGGGAAAATGTATTTGAGTTGAGATGATAGCTACATGTAGAACTATTTTTTAATTTTATTAAAACATTCGAATACCAGTGTGCTTGAGTCATTGGGTGGATTGAAGGATTATGAAGGCTACTCTGAAGTAACAGGAGGAGAGCTTGGAGAAGGGCATTACTTGAAATTACAAGCTTATATGTCTGGAAAAATTGTCATCTTGCATTTCAATCACCAACTGGAAGAAATTTTCAGACTTATTAAATATGCTTAAAGTGTGTGTGTGTAAATTCAGTGTTTTGGTGAATGAGTGATGAATGTCTGAATGTTGAAATAACTTATAAGTGTAAACAGATGTTAATTCATTTATGTTTTATGGCAAATCTCTAGTTGCTGTTAGTGATGAATCATAAATGTTATTCAGAGGGAGGACATTCGATACAAAGTAAACTGATTTCAACCTTTATTGCCTTCATGTGCTTTGCATATGAAACCCTCCCCTATGGAAATGCGTATCCAACATCTGGGTCCTGGGGTGGTCAGAGTGAGGTCTGAATAGAGTATCCTACAGTACAGTAGAAATATCCTAAACCTTATAGATGGCGTGGCCTGATTTCACAAAATGTTAGCATAGTGTAATAAGTTAGAATGTGTCTTTTCTACCATTCTTTTCCCTTCAGTCCACCTCAGTAACAAAAAGTAAGAAAGGAGGTTGGAAGAAGGGAGGATTTGGATGGTTTCCATGATGGACTTTTACCTTCCGGAAGGGATTGGAGGGGTCTGTGGGCAACTTCTATTGTCTGTATTTTTTTTTTTTTTTGGTACTGGGGATCGAACTCGGGTCCTTGCACTTGCGCAGCAGGCGGCAAAACCACTGAGCTAAACCCTGGCCCTGTTGTCTGTATTTTTATAAAACATGGGTTGGGAAGGGCACTTGAGCATTTCCTTAGGAACTGCTGGTTTTTAAGCCATTGCTTTGGTTTCAGAAGAAGTATTCTGATACTCATACACCTGCCTTCACGAGTTGCCACAGAGGCTGCCGCTGCTTTGTGTATTCATAATTGCTTTGGCCATTATTAACAGCAGAGACTCCTGTATTTTGCATATGTAAATAGCACTGTGGATAGCAACAGACATTCAAGATGAAGAGCCTGATCTAAAGTCCTAGAAATGTATTAAAGGAAAATGTTACTGAAGTATAAAGATGTTAAAGATCTAAATTCTAAAATGAACACATGTCACTATTTAGGATTACATGGTATGAGTCATCGCTATCTGGTTACTCATTACCTGGCACGTAACTATAAGGAAGGAGGAAGTGTGGAAACATGTGTATGGGTCTGTGCTAGGCATTGTTCCTAAAACAAATAGAAAATGTTATACAACGCCTTGAACATTTGCTTCCCTTTCATAATACAACTTGCATTCTAACAGTGTTACTTCTGTGATAGTGAATGCCAGACTTTGTCTTGTAGGCATAGTTTAGGTAGCATAAGTGTATTTTAAAACTTTAAAATCTTGACCATTTCCTGTATTTAGGACTTTACCTGTTCTTTGGCATTACATGACATTGATCTTGAATAGACCTTTTTTTTTTGGTACTGGGGATCAAACTTGGGTTCTTGCGCTTGCGAGGCAGGCAGCAGAACCACTGAGCTAAATCCCCGGCCTCGCATAGACCGTTTTAAAAATGAAAGTCTGTCCTAGGTTAAATTCTGTGTGTGAAAATAGAGAAATTTAGTTAGATACATTTGTAGCTAGTTTTGAGTTGTAAGCTTTACTTCACTTGGCCCCTTCCTGCCCGGTGCTTTCATCCCACCATCTCTTTCATTCCTCCTCCTTTCCCTCGCCACTTATCCAAGCCCTGCCATCTTTCAAGATGCATCTAGGGTCGCAGCTCCCTTTTGAAGCCTCTTCCCCAAAGGAAGAGGTCCTAACTCAGTGGTCCTAACTCACACTGTCCGTTCTGTCATTATGTCTCAGTCATGTGGTCCTATTGTACACTGTCTTATGTATTTCACAGTTTCCTGTCTGAGTGTCGGACCTTATGAGAGTGAGAATCTTTAAGCAAGGGCGAAGCATTGTACTCACTCTGTCACCTCAAGGTCAGTGGTCTTTGAAGTCCACCCAGGATGTTGCTTGTTTGTGGTTACCTCCAGGTAACTGTCGTAATGTCTGTGTACCTTATGAAACATACATAAAACAGGTATTAAAACTTCAAAAAAATTGATGAATAAAAAAAATGAACAGAAATTCTGATACTTTAAATTCATACACTAGTGGCCCATGTTGAACGTGTCCTGAGTTGCCTACACCTCACTTTGTAAACCTCGTTTAAGTTCCATGGTAGGTATTCAGAAATATTTATTTTTAGTGTTCAGCTATCTCGTGCTGACTGCTAACAAAATTCCCACCTATCATGTCATAGATAAAAGACAAGGTTATTGTCTTGAGTGTTTGAGGTCTAGTAGGGAAGTACAAGGGGCACAGTG